CCTCCTTCTCCTCATCATCATCATCATCGTCATCGTCATCATCATCATCATCATCATCATCATCATCATCATCATCATTATCATCATCATCATCAGCATCAGCATCATCATCATCATCCTCATCATCATCATCATCATCAGCATCATCATCATCATCATCATTCCTCCTCCTCCTCCTCTTGCTACTCCTCCTCCTCCTCCTCCTCCTCCTCCTCCTCCTCCTCCTCCTCCTCCTCCCCCCTCGGCCCCACAGGTCCCGACCCCCCCAGACATGCTCGCGGCGTAAAACATCAGGACGGGAGGTTTTTGCTAATTTTCGGCCCTGGGGGGGCCCTCGCCGGGCCTCGGGACCGCCAAACAATGACAGGACGAGAAACCGGTCTCGGGGACAGGGTCGGGACTTCCAGGGACGCCGTCCTGAAAAAATCAGGACGTCGCATGTTTGGGAACTCTTCCCCAGCTAGGGCCAGTTTTTCGCCCCAGATTCAGTTCTGAGGACCCCCGGGCCCCAGAGCGGCCCCCAAATGCTGATATTCAGGAGAACCCGCCTGTGGAGAGAAATCGCATCTTCGGAGAGGTGGGTTCCTTCACCCTCCCTTTGGTCGACCCCCGCCCGCTACAGCGAGCACCGGCCGTGGCTCACGCAGGGAATCTGTGGCGCGCTCCAGAAAGAGGTCTGCAGCCTCGAGGACCGAAGAAAACTTGCCGTCTCTTCCGCAACGGAAGGCCGGGGGGAAGGCGGCGGAAGCAAAACGAGGGCGGCTCCGCCGGCGGCAGGCGGCGGAGGCAAGCTCGGGCGTCGCGTAATTCGCAGGAGGAGTACCCATGCCTCTACCCTGCCTCGGTGTCCCCGTTTTGGGCCTCCTGAGCGGCCCTCGTCGCCGCCGCCGGATTCGCTTTGAAATTCTGGTCAGAACGCACCCCGGGAGAGGTCTTTGGAGCAGCGGTTTCGGAATCTTGTGGTTTCCCCAGTGATGGGGGGGCGATGAATAAAGGGGCGGTGGAGGGAAAGGTGCACCCGTTGTGCCCGGAAGGGGCCCCCTGGGCAGAGAAGGTGCGCGCTGCTTCGCCCCCGCCTCCCATCGAGCAGCGCCCAGCACACCCAGACCCCCGACGTCGTGTTTTTTTTGTTCGCAAATCGTCACCGACGCATCGCCGATACATCGCCGATGCCATCTGGGAGGCCTCTGTGCCCCGTGCCCGCCAGCTCGGAGGCGTGCCCCCTCCGAGGAGCTCCCGCGGAGCCTCCCGGGCATGGGCGCCCCCCCCCGCCCCTGCGAGGACCGGGGGGGCGGACGAGGGGCCTCGGGGGCACGTTTCCGGCGCTTCCCACAGCATGCGGCCTGTGTCGGCCCTCGTTGCGTCGCCAGCGTCGTAAGTGCACGTGGGTCGTTGGAGGGCCTGTGTCGGCCCTCGTTGCTCGCCAGCGTCTCCAGCGTCGGTAGTTTCAGATGCCCAAATCCTAATCTTTTGTAGGCGCCTGCCGACTTCCATGGCCGAGTCGGGGCTCGAGAGGCAGGGATAAGTGCAGACGAGGGTCGGCCAGAGCGCCGGATCTTGCAGGATAATGCTTGGGCCAGGGTCGCAGTGACCCGGGCTTGCAAGCGCAGGACCCTGCAGGATCCTGCAGGGTCCTGCAAGGCCTGGCTGACCCGGGTGTGCCTTGACCCTGGCCACCATGTCCCCGACGGAGGTCCAACGCATCGAAATGTCAAGTCGGAGTTTTTTATTCGAAGCGCACGCCAGGCCCCAAGGCCGTCGACAGACGACTCCGGATGCAGCAGCTGGTCCCGTGGAGGGGGCCGAGCTTTCCGAGGGCCCCCCGTACTTCGGGGGCGGAAAAGAGGGGGGTGATGACTGGGGGGGGGTGGATATCATGGCGTGGGCCATGATATCTCCTCAGATTTCATGGCGCCTATTCTTATTTCATTACGTCCCTGGCCCCCCCGCTGGGCCGCGCACATGCTGCCTGTCATGATTTGCACCCCCCCCTCTTGGACACCCCCCTCTTGGCCGCTTCCGAGTACTGAGCAAAACAAGGCGTCGGGTAGCTGGGCAGCCGTGCGGATGCAGATGCAGTTCGTGGGCGGGACACCACGGTCGGGAAGGTTGGCTTGGCGTGTCGCGCGCCGCCAGTCCTGGTCCACCACGCCTCGGCGCGACACGCCATCCACGCTCCAGTCCTTGGCATCGCTCGGACGTGTGCACTTTTCCTTCGACGAGGGCCATCGAGGAGCATCCTTGACTATTTGGCGAAAAAACCACGCACGACCCCCCCCCAAAAAAAACAGGGAATGGACGTCCGAGCGATGGTCAGAGTCCCCGAGCCTCAGCTCACCGCCCACCAAACCACCCCTAACCCAACCCGAAGGCCCCGATCTGCCCTCCATTTCCAGTGGGGGGGGGGTCGGGGAACATGGAGAAAACACATATGAAGCCCGTACCCCCCCACCCAACCCGAAATTCGGGTCTTCGGGTTGGTCTGGGGTGGTTTGGCAGGTAGTCGTCCACGTCCCGAGCTTTTCCTGGAGTCCCGCGCCGCGAAGCGGAGCGGCGCGCCGGCTTGCACGGCACGGCGCGTCGCAGTGGTCGCCACCGCGACATTTTTTTTTAGTCGCGGCCACCAGCGAAAAGCGCAGGCGGCGAACAGGGAGTCCGGGCCGACGGGCAAGCCTAATTAGCTACTGGGCGCGACACAAACCGGCCGGGCCAGCTCACAAGGCGGCCGCTGGGGCAGCAGGGCGGGGGCTGGCTGGCTGATCTGGAACGCCCAGGGAAGCTCGAGCAACGTGCAGCCCAGAGCAACATGCCAGGGAATTCGGTGTTAGCCACCGCGACACGCGAGGCCACAGCTCCCGAGCGCATGTCCGTATCTTGCCGGCCTCGCGGGCCGAGAGCCCCGGGGCCGCGACACCGAGGACACGGGGCGGCGTTTCGCGCATTTTTCTTGCGTCGGGCCTGTCCCTCCACAGGGGGAATATTCAAAACTAGTCAAACATGATAGTATGGGAGCTTTTTAAATGAGAATTTCAAACTTTCATTGCAAAAGCTCCCATACTCAGGAGAGATGCAAAACATATTCAATGTGTTTCGCATCTCTCTTCTGAGTACGTTTTGCATCTGCTTTAGTTGTCCTCCAAAATCCCCCTGCAGGGGGACAGGCCCGACCTCACGCATTCCCCGCGCGGAACGTATCCGTGCGACTGCACAGCCACGGGACCGTGGCCCGGACCAGGGGAGCGGCAGGGCCTCCGCGAGGGCACGTCTCTAGGTCCAGGGGCAGCGCCTCCGAGACCCGTGCGGAGGTGGATCGGTTCGGCGTCGCCCCAACGTGCTGATGCTCCGTGTGCCTCGCCCCGCTAGAATCGGGTATAGCCAGGACCCCAGGCAAGGGGACCTGGTTCGTGGTAGGGCCCCGGGGCCCCTCAACTGGCCAGGTTCACTGCACCAGGCTTGCCGTAACTGGTGTTTTTTCGGGTGACTGCAGTTCCTGTTAGTGGAAATGGGACGGGGGGCGCCCCCGGTACAAATCACTAAACCAGGTTCCACTAAACCAGTTTCAGCCAACGCCCGATCGAAGCGAGGCGCGCACCGAAACATCTTTGTAGTCTATGAATCGTGACGGGCGCTTTCTGGCCACACCGCTCGGGAAACGATGACCTAGAATATGGGTATGCTATGTGTTCGGGTCGGACGCGCGCCTCCAAGAAGGACACGTAGTACTACAGTCGGGGCGCTGACTAAGGAACCCTGTTCGTTGGGGAGGAGCTCGGTTTTCCTTGATTGTTTTACAGTTTGCGTTGGGTTTTCCTTAGGTTTTCCATTGGGAATCGAAGTTTGAGTTAAGGGAAACAGGGGCCTCGTTCCCTATTTAGGGTTCCTTAGGTCAACGCCCCGACTGTAGTATGTCTCTGTGCGCCCCATCGGTGAGGTAGCAAAAAGGTGCCCATAATTGCCGCTGTTCCCAGGCCTCGCCCGGAGGGCACCCCGGCGAGAGAGTCGGGGAGAATCCAGCCGTGGGGACGAGGATTTTTCCCAGGACGAGAGGCAGCATCGGCATAGACTAAAACTCCCGACGTGGGCCCAGACATCCGGCGCTCCAGTGCTTCCGATGCGTCATGGGCCCCCAGGCTGGACAACCTCCCCTGGGACCGGCTGTTCTAAGCTCAGTTTTTTTTAGTTGTCGGTCCCGAGACAACCGTCGAGGGCCCTCAGAGGCCTAGCATAGCCCAAAAACCGCCGCCCCGATTCTGTTCGTCACCACCCACTAAATCACCCCAACCCAACCCGAAGGCCTCAATTCGCCCTCCATTTCCAGTGGGGGGGAGGGAACATTGGAAGAACACATGTGGAACCCGTACCCCGCCGCCCGACATTCGGGTCTTCGGGTTGGTCTGGGGTGGTCTGGTAGGCAGTCAGTTCGGAGCCTCGGATCTCCAGGGAGATGGTGTCGACCACACGTCGGAGTAGCCCCTCGCTGGAGCGACCTCCGGTGCGGGCCCACCGGGGCCGCTCCTGTGGCCGAGTGCGGTGCGATAGAACAGCGCCTTGCGCTTGCGCGCGCGGGTCTGGCCTCCCCGCGCATCCCCGAGAGCCGCGCAGCGAAGGGCACCCTTGCTTGTCAGAGGACAGGAAAGGCTACAGTCGGGGCGTTGACCTAAGGAACCATGAATAAGGAACGAGGCCCCTTTTTCCCATAAGTTAAACTTCGATTTCCCATCGAAACCCTAAGCAAAACCAAAGGCGAACTGCAAAACAATTAAGGAACACCGAGCCCCTCCCCAACGAAAAGGGTTCCTTCCTCAGCGCCCCGACTGTACCCCTACCTATACCTGTTCTTCGTTGTCCCCTTTTTGAGCCTCCTCGGAGGCCCTCGTCGCCACCGCTGGATTCGTTCCGAACTTCTGGTCAGGAACGCGCCCCGGGAGAGATCCGGGGGGCAGCGGCATCGGTACCTTTTGGTTGCCCCAGCTTGGGGTCACTCTCCGCGTGTCGCCGAGGTGGATCGTTGAGCTGGAGTGGGCCAAGGTGGAGCACGAGATCGGCCTGCTGGAGGGCACGGCGCCGGGCAGGCAAGGGGTCTGTTTCGATTCGCTATCGATCATATTCGACATCGGCTCCTAGATCAATCCGATCCGATCGAGCGATCGATCCATTTCCCCCCGATTCGATTCGCTTCCGAGTGTCGGTCGACGCGATGCGGCCCGTTGCGTGCATGGCGCTGACGTGCACACCGGCGCCGCCGATCCGATTCGACTCCGACTCCGCGCCGGGTTGCGGAAACCGAACCCTGCCTTCGCCGATCCACGATTCTGGCAATTCGATTGGCGGCGACGGTAGGGTTCGGAACTCGTCGAACACGTGGCGGAACCCGAACCCAACCCCCGTCTCAATCGATGCTTGGTGGGCTAGGGTTCGAATGTCGCCCCCTACACACCCCCCTGGGGGCAGGACCTCAGGATGTTCTGTCTGTGCCCGTTTTGGCCGACGGATGGTCTCGAGTTCCTTCGGGATGTTCTTCTGGGCCACGTCCGGTCGTACCGTGTTCCGCTCCCAGACATGCGACGTCCTGATTTTTTCAGGACGGCGTCCCTGGAAGTCCCGACCCTTTCCCCTGGACAGGTTTCTCGTCCTAAGTGGTTTTCTTGGCGGCCCCGAGGCCCGGTGAGGGTCCCCCGGGGCCGAACATGGCCAAACACCTCCCCTCCGGATTTGTTTTACGACGCGATCATGTCGACTAGACGTAAGAGTGACTTTTCGCCGGAGTGACCTTTGGTGCGGGCACAGATGGGCCCTCGGATGGCTGAAAACGAAGCGGTAGCAGCGGCTTGCGCGCCCAGGTTTGGTCTTCCTGCGGCCCCCAACAAGCCGCGCACCAAAGGTCACTCTTCCCCAGGGCCGCTCTTGCGTGTAGCACCGATCACGTCTGGGACGTCGAGGATCGGGATCGAGGGAATCGAGGACGGAGATGGAGGATGGAGGATCGAGGATCGAGGATCGAGGATCGAGGAGATGGAAAATGGTTCGAAGCTCGAGGATCGAGGCTCGAGGATCCTCCTCGGCTCGGTGCTGGCTGCTCCCGGAGGAGGAGGGGGAGGAGGAGGAGGAGGAGGAGGAGGAGGAGGAGGAGGAGGAGGAGGAGGAGGAGGAGGAGGGGGAGGAGGAGAGAAGGAGGAGGAGGAGGAGGGGGAGGAGGAGGAGGTGGAGGAGGAGGAGGAGGAGGAGGAGGAGGAGGAGGAGGAGCTCCCGGCAGGGGCGCGTGGGCGGCCCGCGCGCTGGCCCTCGCGCGGGACGCGCGGCTGGCCGCGCGGCTGCGCGCGTGGGCCCCGGCCGCGCTGCGGCTGCGCGAGGTGCTGGCGGGGCTCTTCCGCGGTGCCCCGGGCGAGGATCGAGGAGGATATCATCCTCGAGCCTCGATCCACTTCCCATCCCCTCGATCCTCGATCTTCGAGGCACCATCCTCCATCCTCGAGCCTCGATCCCGATCCTGGAGCCTCGAGCCTCGATCCTCCTCGAGCCGCCAGTTGCCAGGCAGCCGATGCCAATAGATCCGACCCCAGACAGGATCGCGTCGTGAAACGATCAGGACGGGAAGTGTTTGGCAGTGTTCGGCCCCGGGGGGGCCCTCGCCCGGCCTCGGGGCCGCCGAGAAGCGACTCAGGACGAAGCGCCGGTCCCGGGGAAAGGGTCGGGACTCCCAGGGACGCCATCCCGATAAGAAAAAGCACCACGTCGCACGTCTGGGATCGAGATCGGTTCCTGTCGTTCTGCCTCTTGCCGTCTCGTGTCTCGTCGTTCTGTGGCCTCCTCTCTCGTGTCCTGTCCTCCCGCTTTGTCGTGTCTGCGCTTTGGGGTCGTCGTTGCTTCCCCCTCGGCCTCGTCTTCTCAGGAGGGAAAAAAACGCACACACAATTAATCGTCGATTCCCCAGGAAATATGGAAAAATATGGGAAGTGGGGGGGGAAGACGCAAATTCAGAACATATGAGAAAATATAGGAAATCCTGTTATTTGTGTGTATTTATTTGTGTGTTCCAGGGCCTCTTCATCTTCCTCCCTCTCCTCCCCCCTCTTCTTGGGATAATCTTTGACAGAACAGAAAAGGGTTGCCTTTCGAAGGGCTGCGCATGACAAACAAAAGTACATCGAGATCGGTTCGGGGAGGGGTACCCTGGTATTCTTCGTGTTTGTCGGATGGTGCTGTGGATTCTGGGGAGGGTACCTGTAGAACTTCTGTCGGGGGGTCTCATGTTCTTGAGGGGTGCCCTTCTGGCCAAGGTCCAATTGCATCGGAACGAAAATCAAGACGAAGGGGTTTAGCAACGTTCGGCGTTCGGCTTGTAGAGACCCTCGCCGGGCCCCGGGACCGTCAAAAAGCAAGTCGGAACGAACAAAACATGTTCCGGGAAGGGGTCGAGACGTTTTGGGATCCCGTCCAGAAAAAAATCCAGACTTCGGATCATCGGGTATACATCACGCGGTTGGCACGGGCGAAATTTGGATAACCGAGAGATGTCTTTCAGATGTCTTTAATGATGCCTCATGCCTCCCCCCAAGCTCTCGGTGGACAATACAACTCATCCTCCCCGTCCTCGTCACCCCCCTTCCTCGCCCTCCTCCTCCCCTCCCGCCGCAGACGGGTCAGTTTCCCAATGTTGTGCTCCCGCCGCGGGAGACGAGCTTGTTTCCCAATAAGCCCGCGGAGAAAATAATCAGTTTGCATTACAAGAGGGGGCCACACAAACCAATCCGGGTGGTTGCACGCGCGGCCGGGTGCTTTTTCAGCGCTCTCGGTCCTCCCGTGGCCGTGCCCGCCAGCCTCCCGCGCGCGCAGTTGGCGCCTGGCCTCCGCAGGCTCCAGCTGTGAGCCAGGGGCAACGAGAAGGGGGGGGGGATAGAGGCACCGGGGGGGGGACGCGCATCGGGCCTGGAAGCCCCACCTCCGCCCAGGAAGGTGCGGATTTGCTGTCGGGGGGCCGACCGCCGATGCATCGGCGATGGACTGCCGCTTCCAGGTCGATGTTCCCCCCCCAATGCCTACCCTCTCAATCATTGCACCTCCGTGGATCCAGCGATGTGTGTGTTGTGTGTGTGATTCCAGCTTCCTGGTGCAGCCGTTTTCCGATTCAGCTTTCAATTTCGGCGTGGACTGCGGGACAAGAGCAGGGCACTGCGTCCGCGCGCCTAATGAGAATCTATGTCTGGGAGATCTCCTGCTGCAGTCAGCGCCCCCCCCTTCGGCACCCTCACGACGAGGACCCTGGGCCAGTAAATTTGAATCTGGAATAGGAGAGCAGGCTGAGGGTCTGCGGTGGCGGGGGAAGATGTTCGAGGTTCTGGGTTTGAATTTCTGTTCGGCATCTGGGGGTCGTTTTCGGTTCCCAGGCCGTCAGAAACGGATCCAGGGTGAAACATTGCACCAGAAGGACCCCAGGGGAAGTTTGTGAACCGATTTTGTGCGGATTTGCCCGTCTCCCCCTACTTGACCGATTTTCTCGGGGGCCCATCCAGTTCAGACCCTCCGGCCACCTCCAGGTCCCCAGCTCCGCTTGGGCATCGAGGGTCCAGGATCGAAGCTCGAGGTCGTGTGGACGTTTGGGGTCGTTTTGGGAGGCCCTGGAGTGCTCCTGGAGTCAGGCAAAAGGACTCCTAACCTTAATAAGACGATGAAGACGTAGCCTCGCGGAGGTCCCCGTCTTCGCTTTAGAGGTCACCATCCTGGGCGGTTTGGCTCGATACCTCTGCAGGCAGGACCCCCTGTCCCTAATGTTCCTGGCCCTCCCAACTTCTGTGCCCTCCCAAAGGGTCAGGGGCCTTTTTCGGGGGGGGGGGGGGGGGCAATCCTGGAGGCCCGTCTCCCGGGGCAGACGGCGCTTCCTCGAGGAAGCGTGGCGACGCCCTCCGAGTGGTGGCCTCCTGGCGCCTGCCCCAGGCGCCGCCGCGGACGAGATGGCGGAGGAGCTGCGGCGCGTGGTCAGGCGCCCGGGCGGCGCGCCAAGGCAGACCCCTGGAGAGTGGGGCGCTCCGCAGCTCTGCACCGCCGGGCGTCTCCGCCCGGAGTGGGGCCCCGGGGCCATGCCACGGTCTACGATCAAGTCGGGCCTGTCCCCCTGCAGGGGGAGCTCCGACGAAACAGCAAAAAGCATACCCCAGAAATGATCAAGAGATAGTCCAAAAATAGTCTGGGGACTATTGTCTGAGTATTTTTGTACCTTTTTGGAGCATTTTGGGGGTATGTTTCATTTTTCATTGAAAATCCTCATGTAACCGAGTGCGTTTTTCTTTTCTTAGAAAAAAATCAGTATCCAGTGCGTATTGGAGTCTTGGGTTCTCCTCCCCAGAAACCGTAGGCGCACTGGATATGGAGAAAGATCTGGCCCCAAGAGGCTTGATTTTATCCATATCCAGTGCGCCTCGGCGCTGCGGCACCTCTTTTCGAAAAGTCCAAGACGCTCTGGATATGGATACAAGTACTGCCCGCGTGGAAATCCCCCTGTAGGGGGACAGGCCCGACGTAAGTCTACGCCACGCGAGAGGGACCCCTCGCCGGAGCGACCCCTGGTGCGGGCCCACCGGGGGGTCGCCCGCTCGCCGAGCGCGGCGCGGCAGCAGCGTCCGGCGCGCTCGAGTCTGGGCCCCGCGCGGCGCCCCGGAAAGCCGCACGCCGAGGGTCACTCTGACCTCGTGGAAGTCGATAGCTGGTTCAAGCATGCTTTAAATTTGTGAACAGTTTCAGAGTTCAGTCGGGCCTGTCCCCCTACAGGGGGATTTTCAACGGAAATCATAATATACCCCCAAAATACTCCACAAAGGTCAAAGAATATTCAAAAAATAGTCCCCCGACTATTTTTGGATTTGTTTTTCTTCATTTTGGCGGTATTTTTTATTTGTCGTCGAAAATCCCCCTGTAGGGGGACAGGCCCGATTCAATTCTAGAGCATGCTTACACATGTTAGACACATTTTTTAGTTCAATGATAGGACTGTTAGGGTGTCCATTGTCGTGGCATCCATAACTCTTGCCCAGGACCACTCTTGCGTGCAGTCGAGCCACGGGTCGGTCCAGCTCGAAAAGAATGCCGCAGGAAGACGGGGTCCATCGGCCACGCGCAGAGGGGGGGTATGTGGGAGGGGGGAAGGCTGCTTAGAAGCACCCCTGCTTCTTAGAAGGCGCGGGCCTTGTCCATAGATGTAAGGCGTAAGGCCCGCGCCTTCCAAGAGGCAGGGAGAGGACGAGGGACGCGCTTGACGAGGCTCCTCCTCCTCCTCCTCCTCCTCCTCCTCCTCCTCCTCCTCCTCCTCCTCCTCCTCCTCCTCCTCCTCCTCCTCCTCCTCCTCCTCCTCCTCCTCCTCCTCCTCCTCCTCCTCCTCCTCCTCCTCCTCCTCCTCCTCCGTAGCCATTTTGGCTCAAGATGCCTAGTTCCGCAGGGGAACAAGTGGATACCGCTAGTCCGCGGCCAGTGCCAGGGCTCTTGAGCCCGACAGCTTTCAACTCTCCGTGTGCCTCCTGCTGCCCGCAGGTGAGCTTTCTCTGTTCCTCAGCTCGTCCATGGCGCCTCCGCAGCAGCGCAGCGCCTACGTCAAGTGCTACTCCTGCTCGTACGCCTGGAACTGGAAGACCAAGCAGACGTGCTACTGGTGTGGCAAAGCCTTGGCGCCGTGGACAGATGCCCCGCCTCCAGTTCAAGGAGCTTGGGCGGCCCGTGTCACAGCCGCAGCCCAGGCCGAGTCCAAGTGCACCCAGCAGTCCAGCCCTGAGGGAGATTGGGAACCGTGGGCATCATGGCCCAAGTCCCGCCGCCGCCGCGGCAAGGGCAACGGCAAGGACCAAGAGGACGACTGGTGGGCCAGCAAGAACGACACCCCCAAGGCTCGCTCCGCCGAGGACATCCTGGCGGAGCTCCAGGCGATCGCCCCCCACATCGACAAGGCAGCCATCGACGGCATCAAGTCGCAGATTCCGCCGCCCCAGCCGCAGAAGCCAGCCGACCTCAACGACATCTACAGCCGCGCCCAGGCTACGGAGCGCCGCTGCAAGAACAACCTGGAGAGGCTGCTCGAGAGCGAGCAAAAGGCGCTCAGCTGGTACACAGAGCGCAAGCAGGCGTCGGAGGAGGCCGCCTACAAGTTGGCAGAAGCCCAGGCCGAGGCCCAAGCGGCTCTCGATGCACTCCAAGCCGCTCGCAAGGGCGGCACAGCTACTCCTACGCCGTCGCAGCAGAACCCGACGTTCAACCTCACCAGCCTCCTCGAGGACGGCGACATCTCTATCGAAGCGGGTGCGGCGTTCGATCTCCAAGGCCTCGACATCGACGACAGCGACCGCCAGGCATGGGAATCCCTCCAACAGCGCTTCGCCACGGAGCTCAAGGCTAAGGTCACGGAGCTCTTCGGCAACACCGCCAGCCGCATCAGCCAGCTCCGCGCAGAGGCCAGTACCATGCGCACGCGCTTCGCCTCCAAGCGTCAGCGCGCTGACGAGCATGGACACGCCAGGGAGGGAGGTGGACCACCGCCCGCCGCCTCGGCTGCAGCAGGCGAACCCCCAGCGACAGCCGCAGCGGACGCTGAGGGCACTGCGCCCTCTTCGCCAGCGGCGCCAAGCGATGAGCCTCCCGCACCTGCTGCTGGCGCTACTTCTGACGGCGGCTATGCCGCACAGCCTGTGCCGGCGCTCAGCAAGGACCCCGACCTCGAAGACAAGGCACAGAAGATGCTCAGCCAGATGCGCAAGCCCACTGCGACCGCCGCGGCTGGAGCGCAGCGGCCTCTTTAGCCGCCTACAACCCGACCCTGGACGGAATGGTGAGACGGGACGCCTACCGCCAGAGACCAAGAGCTACGACAACCCACCTATCATCAACACAATGGACGCAGTCCTCGACCCGTTCGACGAGCTGGCCGAGTTGGACGCCCACATCGATTTCGCAGTCACAGATCAGTACGCTACCGCCCCGCCCGAGACGCTGTCCTCGGTAGGGGGCGATGAGGCGGCACAGTCCGTCGACCCCGTGGCAAGGGACCCAGGGCAGCTGCAGCGTGCAGCGCGCGCCGACCCTGATGCCGCTCCGCCCGAGACGCTGTCCTCGGTAGGGAGCGATGAGACGGCTCAAGCTGTCGACGTGCAGGTGGTACAGGAACCAGGGGGGCCTTCTCCAAAGGCAAACCCTGATGCCGCCCCGCCCAAGACGCAGTCCTTGGTAGGGGGCGATGAGATGGCGAAAGCTGTCGACACGACCGCAGGGAAATGGTCATGGAAGCCCAGCAGCCCGAGAGCCGACCCCAGACCCGCCTACCAAGACGAATGCCATACGAAGCCCACACTGTCAGACCATTCCCTGTTCTTCTCCAACATTACTCAGTGGGGGCCACAGTCGGAGAAATGGCTGGCAGGGCCAGGCAAACAATATCAGATGGTAGCATTGGTTGAAACACACATCTCGTCTGGAAAAGCGCCGCTCATCTACGACAAGCTTGCAGCGGACGGTTGGCGGATATCATCGACTACGGCCACGCCTACCAACAGATCTCACGGCGGCAACACGGGTGGCGAGATCATCCTTTCCAGGTACCATGTCCAGGCCACCACGTTCAACCACCTCCGTGACCTCGCCATCTCCCAGCGCAGGCCCGACCCGTTCCTCGGCTTCACGCCCATGGTATGGCACAGACGCTCTGGCAACCTAGTTGTTATTGCAGCGTATCTGGAACCCCGCAGGCAGATCGAGGGTGCAGTGCAAGATAAGCTACTTTCGCTGGGAGCCTTCGTTACTATGCTCACGGACCCTTGGATCATCCTGGCCGATTGGAATATGACACCTGAGCAGCTCGCAGCGACAGGGTGGCTCGCCAAATGGAATGCTACCATCGTGCGATCACCTGGATCCGCCACGTGCGACAAGGGCCAGGGACTCACGCTTGATTTCGCATTGGTCAAGACTGGCATCGAGCACACGATCTCCATTCGCCAGTGCCCCACCGTACCCTGGGCCACCCATGTTGGCCTTGAAGTTCGAGCAGGCAGTGCAGACCCCTGGTGGTATCAGTCGATCGATACTCCCAAGGCATTCCCCATAGTGGACAGACCCAGGATCCCGCCAGACCCCAACAGCAAGACCGCCATCAAGAAACGTAAAACAGCTGAAGCTCGAGCAGCACGTCTACGTGATCTACCTCCTGAACTCCAACAAGCAGCAGCACAGCTCCAGCCACAAGACGAGCCCGCAGCACAGGAACCTATCCCTTATGCTATCCCGATGGGCTTGTGGGAAGAACAATGGCAGGAAGCGGTACCCACACGTTGTAAGCAGCCTCACGCGCACTTCGTGTACAGACACTGGGTGCACGACGCCGACGACCTCAACCTCAAGTGCGCCAAATGGGTCACGGCGCTCGAGAACACCATGATCAGCCACCACCAGATCGACCCGAAGGAAGCCGCAGCATACACAGGCCGAGCCCAAGGCTACCAGTTATCTTGGAAGAAGACAGCCGCCGCCCCAGGCCGCGTACACGTACGCGACCCTCAGTCGGAATGGCGGGCAATCACGCTCACCCTCATCAAGCGCTACGCTGCGCTTCACGACAAGCCCAAGCACACAGCGCTCATGCAGCAGCAGGCCTCCATCATCCAGCAGCGCGCGGACCACTTCAACACTCACATGCACGACCTCCAGTTCGAGAAGGATGAGGACACCATCTTCCGCTGGTTTGCACTCGTCTGGGCCCCGCACTTGGACAAGGATGACACCGGCGACTTGGTCACCATTACCGCTACCTGGGCCTCCAGAGCTCTCTCGGCCGCCCTCTCCAAGTCCAAGAGGGCCTACGGGGCTTGGCTCGCCCAGCAATGGAAGCACCGCCCTGGAGTACTTCACGCCCATGTCAAGCCAGCGCCCGTACGTCACATCGAGGCCTACACGGCCAACCTGACCATCGCCGACCCCACCGTTATCATGGACAACAAGAAGCAACAATGG